TGAGATTATTTTTCTATCATGGAGAATAGTCTTTCTACTAATTTTGGTCGTTTTCGTTTCAAGTTTTCGAGTTTCAAAGCCGGAAGTGCTCCATTCCGAATTACATTCATGGTTTATATACAAGGAAGGAATATACAAGGAAGAGTGTGCAGTCACATGCTGTAAAAAAAAAAGGTGTCGATGAAGTATCGGCAACTTTTTTTTTTTAAGAAGTTCGACCCCATCGGAGCCTCTTCCAAGAGCCATGCCACTCAAAAACCTGCCGGATCTCCTCGCTCTCGCGCGAAGGAATGAAGAGCAGCGCGGTCGAGGGTCCAACGCCGAATGCATCGCGATCGGTTCTATCGGATGCCGTAGGCTTAAAGGAATGCAAAATGAGATGATCTATCTTGAAGTACGTGGTAACAACACGTACTTGAAACATCTTTATAAGCAACGTTTGCTTTCTCTTTGTAGAGAAATTAACGTGTTTGAAATTGGTTTGGTGTTTTTTCCCGGCAAAAATCCTTTTCATTTCCATTCCATTCCCCCAAAAGTGATAGATAAAAAGTGGGATGAACTGGTGAATGCCATATTTAACTGATGTCTCAGACAAACGTCTCCCTCTCTCACGGGAGTCCACCCAACTGGATTCTGGAAGTAGTAAATGTTTAAATGGTGTCTCTTTCTGAGTTTTTACCAGCGCTTGCATGGCTTTCAAAATGCATGGAAAAGCCGTTTTCGAACGCCGAGACCGCAAACGAAAGAATCCATCGAACCGCCTTCGCATCGAGAAGGAAGAAAATTCGGCGCAAATCTACTGCATGTGGAGAGGGATGCGTTTGTTTCTCAATTGTTACCAACGATAACATTCAAGGGAATCAGCATCAAGGAAAGAGTTGGTATTCTGCGATTTCAATTGTTATAAAGATAGGAGCTGTCCTTAAATCATTGCTTGCTCTTGACTGGGTTGTGAGATTTTATTGTTGAAGTCGAATAGTGCAATCTTAGAGAATCTGACATGTGCTATACAGTTTTATTCAGAATTTCCCTCGTTTGGTTAGATAAAACTAAAAGAAAAAAATAAGTCAGCACAAATTCGAATTTTATCGACCATAAATTATTGGTGAAATTTGCTAATTTTACCGAACCCTGTTATAAAACTATCGGCCGATAAAGAAATTCAACCAAAAACAAAAATGCATGAAGAAGGAATTAGCGGAAGCGAGATGAAGTCGTGGACGAATCGTATTTTCTCGTTTTGGGCAGAAGAGTTTGTTCCCGTTCTCTGAACCTTCGGTGCCGCCGGTGGGCGAGGACTGCGTGGACGCCGCGAGGCAGAATCCGGACGAGATCGGGGCCACGGACTTGAACTTCCTCATGGTGCTCGGCAGGGGGTCCTTCAGCAAGGTATCAAGAGCCTTCTTTAGCCTCCTACCTGTCGGTGCTGGGAAAATGATTATGTTGCGCTGTTAACGTGGGGTCTTCATGGGCCGAGCATGGGAGTCATGGGGGAACTCCAGTTACTTCCCGTCGGCGAAAAACCTAGCACGGTGTTAAAGGTGGTACATATTCGCGTGAAATTTAGTCTCTTTCTCTATTTCAGGCAGTGAAATCATATGGGTCAAGATTGTGGAAGGAGGGTTGTGCGGATCATCATGAAACCCGTTGCATACATGAGTCGTTATTATGAGCACAAACGTTGCGAACGTTTATCTTCCGGAAATGTTCTCGGTAGGAACGGGGTCGACTGGGCAGGTCCCAGAAAGCGGAACGAGCTTCAGCTTTGACCTTTGAACTTTTTCCCCGGGACTCAGATGGTCTACCGAGGCCTTTCCGAGCAATCCCACCAAAAGCTGCATCTGCACGAAATCTGCTTCTCATTAAGACTTATAATCCGTGCTAAGAAAAGAAGGATTTCATTTAATCTCCCTTTCTCCGATCTTCACCGTGTTTCTACCTGGGGAATGACACTTGTAAATTTTCCACATCGGCTCTCGTCTGGGGTCTGCACACGAAAGATGAAATAGGATTCTGTAGCCCATCTTCCTCGGACGAGTTTCCTTTCTCCTTCGCCAACAATGGAAGATGAAAGGACAACGTGGATGGTCCGATTAAGGGAAGGGAAGAGAGTTCTTCTTTCATCGAGGCAATTTTCATAGACGTAGAAAACTTAGTTTTAAGTTGTTTTCCTGGATACCATAATCAATACCCGATGTAACAGGAGGAAAAGGACTCATATACTCATCAGGATGAGAAAAAGACTGATAAACCTGACGGAAAGCGCAGCGCTCCTTCACATTTCGCACTCGGTTCCGTCATTATTGCCATGGAGACAATAACGACGGAACCATGTGCAGATGCATTTGGAGGCGATTGCGACGAATTTTCCTGAATGACTGCTGCTGAGCTATGGTAGACACGCCGTGCGTTTCATTCAAATGGTTTCATCTCGCTCAAAATATTATAAATTCTCCGCGACACAACAGTCGAACCGCGAACCTCAACGACTTCGTCGTGTATTAAGCTTATTGTCCTTCGGAAAAGGTGATGCTGGCGGAGAGGAAGGGGACGGAGGAGTTGTTCGCGATCAAGATCCGGAGAAAGGACATCTTCATGAAGGAGGACCTTGTGAAATGCGCGATGATCGAGAAACGCGTCCATGCCCTTCCAAATAAACCCCCTTTCCTCGTCCAATTACATTCCTGCTTCCAGACCAAGGTATTCACATATTCACCATCCAATTTTCTCTCTCTCTCTATTCTGTTTAAACGCCGTGGGAATACAAGCCCAAACACTAAAACACCAACATTCAGTAAGAAGGGGTACTTTTTTCGCAGTTTTGATTGAAATTCTCAGTTACTGTTTTAGTGAAAGCTAGAGAGAGTGCGTGTGCCTGTGTCTGCTTGTGTCTGTGTTTCTGCGAGAGTGTCACTGAATGGGTACTCCCTCTTGGGGTGGCTCTGACAGGACCGTCTCTACTTTGTGATGGAGTACGTGAGCGGTGGAGACCTCATGTTCCAGATCCACCAGTGTGGCAAGTTCGTGGAACCCGCCGCTGTGTAAGTTCTTCAGCCACTTATATTAAATCGGCAGAAATAAAGAGAACACGCTTACGAATAAAATATTACGATTGGGTGGTCCTACCTTCAAGGATATGCTTCATACGAAAATGATTGAATGAAATCCAATCCAGCGAAATATATTGGCAATTGTGAATACTATGAGAATATATTTAAAAAATAATCAAATCTATAACTTTCTTGCGATGCCGGTTAGGTGGAACGATTTCTGCACGGATTTAAATGTTGCGAAGGCTGACCGATCACGGACGCAGGAATTAATTGATCGCTGACTGCGATTGCAGGTTCTACGCGGCGGAGATAGCGGCAGGGCTTTTCTTCCTGCACTCGCTCGGGATCGTCCACCGGGAATTGACGCTGGACAACGTCCTGCTCGACCGAGAGGGGCACGTCAAGATCGCAGACTTTGGAATGTGCAAGGAGGGGATCGTCGGCGACAGGAGGACGAAGACCTTCTGTGGTACCCCGGAGTACATGGCTCCCGAGGTATCCCTTTACCACATTCTACTCCCTCAAGTCTCGCTGTAGGGGACTTCACATTTTCAAGTCACTCGTAGGCAGGCATATTTACATTTTGGAAAGGATAACGAGGGGAAACAAAAACTTTACAAAGTGTGGAACTCACTTGTACCTCCTATAAATCCCAAAAAAAAATATTTTTGCTCAGATGCTGGCTTGTACACCACGTTGAGCCCGTGTTGGCTGCTAGAGGGAGCATGGGCGGACATCGCAGTGGGTTGCCCATGTCGCTCCACATAGACGCTGTGCTGTGGGCGACCCATCTGACTCAGTCATTCGGAAAAAGTTCTGTGTAGAGTCATGACTCTAAAATAGCCGCAATTTAAGCCGTTCCAGGTTGTGACTCGTGATGAAGTATTTCTCGTGCGGAATCATATATTTTCCCAGACACTCCAATTCCTCCAAGTATTTGCATGAACAGACCTCAGAACATCATGGAAATTGAGACTGCTCTTCGAAAATCCTAGAACTCTGTTATCAAATTTCTAGTCAGAAAGATTAAGGGTATTGAGCAAAATTGCACGTTTTCAAAATGTTAAATTTCAAAATATGAGAGAAATTTGAAGTGGCGGGCCATTTCCTCTTCATGAAAGCTCAAGAAAATTTCAACTGCAGCTGAGACATGAATAAACCGTAATCGCATGCTTTGCTGCCAAAGAAGTTGATGGAATTGGGCTTTTAATGTAGCAGTCAATACTCATCTGAACCTTAGTTGAAATGCTTCCAACTGCAGAGATGAGACGCTTCCAAAGGGCATTGAGCCAAACTGTCCTTTCAAGTCATGGCAAGGATGCATTCATTTTCTCGGTAGTTCATTGGGACTTGATTGATTATGTCGCCCGGTTGAGCAGGGTGACAGATCGATGACATTGAAATTAACGACCTGAAAGAGAAATGCCAAGTTAGTCTTTAGACACGATGATACCTCGTCGCCGGCTCCGTGGCGCAATGGTAGCGCGTCTGACTCCAGATCAGAAGGTTGCGTGTTCGAATCACGTCGGGGTCATAAAGTCTTTCTTTTTTATTCTTTGCAGTTCCACAAAAGGTAGAGTATCAATGCATGCAGTGTCTCTCTCCATTAAGACAACCGAATGTATTGGAACTCTGAATGTGAGCTAAGTTGGAAACAAGCTTGCCGTTGGGTTTCGGCAGATCATCCTGCAGCAACCGTATGGGAAGTCAGTGGACTGGTGGGCATACGGAGTTCTATTGTACGAGATGCTAGTGGGGGAAGCCCCATTTGACGGAGAGAATGAGGTGCTCTTCGCAGCCATCACCGACCAACCCGTCTCCTATCCCAAGTTCCTCTCTAAGGAGGCCAAGGATGCCTGCAAGGGGGTTTGTGTCCAATCAATCTCTGCATCTCGAGGTATATGCTTCTGAGATACATATCGGCTCCTCGCCGAGGAAGAGTGTGCAACTGGCATGATTCAGTGAGAAAGTTGTTAAGAGGAAACTAAATCGTCTCTTTTGTGTGGCTACTTGTTTTGATGTTCTAGCCCATCTATTTGCAAAGGTGTTCTATTGATAAGTTTACTCCCAGAAGGAGTAATTGAGTTTAAAAGTAGACCTAAAGTAACCTTTGTCTATTTGCCAATGTTGCACTACTTACTCCATTAGTTTTTTCCTCATGCCGCAATAAGGAGATATAAAATGTAATCCCCCCAGAGATTTCTGTGACACTCAGGGATGTGTTGAACAAGGAGACAATGAGAAAAAAGTCCATTCTTGTCCTCAGTACAAAGAGATTCAAAATCTTCAAAATCTTGTACTAAATGGAATTTGTAGCTCTTATTAGAAAATTTAGACGTTCAGAATCCTTATTGCTTAAATCTGTTGCAAAGCATCACGAGTCTTTGAGGCACCTGCTCAAATAAATAAATCCTGCATCCTTAACTTCGAGGTCTTAGAAATGGAGGTCCCAACTACTTCGTTTCCCCCAAAAACTATTGAAGAATTCCCTGAAAAGTCAAGGTAGTTTAAACAAAGGTTTGCATATGCACTTGTGCAAGTAAAAGTTGATTATTGGTAGTGACAAGATACCTGACTATGACGTAACATGGAAAGATGCAATTCAAGGTTTTTTTTTTCTATCAAAAAGAAATTCATATTCAGTCGCATATGACAAGCTCCTTCTGAAGGAATTTTCAACATTTCATGAGATCCATGTCTATGCAGTTCCTGACAAAGAATACCTCAAAGCGACTCGGCTGCGGGCCAAAGGGAGAGGAGGATGTGAGGAATCACCCGTTCTTTCGTCCCATCGACTGGGAAACGCTCGAGAGCCGGGAAGTGCAGCCCCCTTTCCAGCCTAAGATTGTGAGTCTGTCTTTCTTCTTTAATTTGCTCCCTTCCTGGGTGCTTTCCTTCCCTTGGACCTTGCACAACACCTGGCATTCCAGTCTTTAGCACTCGATTCAATAGTATGATATAATATGCATTAGGAATAGCGTCTCGAAGTTTCTCGTAGATTTGGGGTCTGAAACAAGCTGAAGCAATCGTGAAATTCAGTTTCTTTAGTTCTGTAAAGTATACAATAAATATCGTGTGATTTGAATCAGTATTTGATCAACGTCTTGTTCAGTTGGAAGTTCAAGTGGCAATTGGCTAAGGCTTGAACTATGTATCGATCTGAGCTTTCTGGTGAATGCATGGACGACTTTCTTTGCAGTTCATCCGGTTTGGCCTGAATTTCTATGGAACGACAAAGCAATTCTAACATATGTAAATATGTGAAAATAATATGCAAAGCGTTTCTTTTTCCCATCAAGTTTGTTCTGAAAATGAGGGTGCGGGTCTAATCCAAGGATAGGCGCATGGTCATACAAATAGTATTCTTTTCATTTTACTCCGTCTTTTCAATATGTTTTTACCATACCCTAACCTATCTCTCTACCGGACCTTCCCAATTCTAGAAAAACCCGCGATCGGGTGAGAACTTCGACCCGATCTTCACCCACTCCACGATGAAGATGTCACCAGTGGACGAATGCGTGATTCGCGACATCACCGAGGACATCTTTCAGGGATTCTCGTTTGTGAACCCTTCCTACGCCCCCATCCATGCCGAGGCGCCTCTTGGACACTGAAGGACGCTAAAATGAATCTAAAGGTCTCCTGAAGACTTTGTTTTCCTTAATTGGCAAGTTGGGCACCTGAAAAAGATGCTCTGAATGCCCATGTCAACGTTATTGCTACATTAAACTATGAAGTTATTATTGTTGTTCTCAAAGGTTGTTCATTGAAATTTTATGCATTATTTCCCCTACTGATGTTGCACTGCTCATCCTGCCATTTCACTCTGCCAAAACTTACTCTACCAATATTCTTGCTCCTTGTTTCCCCAATACTTGTCATAGTGTATCAGCGATGTTATTGAAGTTCTTTGACCTCCCTTATTGGCCTTAACGCTTGACTGTGTTCACAAAGGGTCTGAGAAGACAGTGCACCCCCTTTGTTGTGTGTAGAAGTCAAAGCCATTGCTGTAGCATCGCAGTAGTTTCTATGCATGACTGCTGTGTCTCTCCTCTTCTTTTTTACGCGTTATGATGGTCACATTAAGATCCCTAATGTTATTTCCATGAGAATTCATGTGTATATAGTCATGCGATCATCATGCACTGATGTGAATTCCATGACTTGCTCAGTTTTCCCAATTTTGCAGATGATTTCATTTTCCGGGAATTTTTTTTAACGATACACAAATATATCATCATCCAAACGTTAATTAGGTCCTCCTTAAGTTCGTTTGTTTCTAGTGCTATGGAAGATGTAGAACGGGAGGAAAGGCTGATCATCCCTAGGATAACGTCTTCAACGTGTGGTAAAGACGTCCCATGCCTCTCTTTTCGGGACGGAATGGGCAACTCGTACCCCCCTCTTTGGTATTCAGGATTCCCATTCCCCTTCTCCCCATCGTCTCCTCTCTCGATGCTCTCCAGTCATCACCACAATCAGAATATGATTTCCACGTGTTCAGGAATGTGATATGACTGGTGACTGGTTGGCACGTTGCACACCACCCAATGAACACAACTCTTAAAATCCCAACTGCGTCACTGCTGGGATTTAAGAGTCCAAGCGAGAAAATAGCGATATCTATGTAATCCTACTGTCCTGCATCTGGGATACAACAGCATCTTATCAGCTGCCATATAACTGGTTATTTCCAGTAAAGACTCACCTGGGAAGGAGCCGAGACAAGTCAGCTGAGGAAGCTCAGTAATGTCCCAAGAGTTTTCATGCTGTGATCATCCAGCAATAATAAAGGCGATTATTGCGTTTTGAAGTGCAGCTGTTATTCAACAGCTTGCATACAACTGGGGTGTCTCTGCTGTGAGACGACTGCATTCAAACTGGGAAGACCAAGTTGGTCTGTGTGGGTACGTCATAGGGCGAATTCTACTTGATGCCACAAGATGTCGGTATGGGTCTCGCTTTTCGCCAAGAACACAAACGTGCCCTTCCCTCTTTCCATGGAATCATCCCTCACAGGAGTGTTTAGTACCTCACTTCGTCATTTTTATTAATAGTTTCATTATAGCAATCAATAAAATCGGACATTTAATCATTTATTATCCCCAAATTTGAGACAGAATCATGGAGCCCAGGCGATAAAGAAGCTCATATTCCCAATTAGAACCGGTTGCATTATTGAATGCACATAACCAATACAGAGGTAGTTAATTCGATCATGAATGATGGCTTTAACCTTAGTGACTTTTTCACTAGAGGAAGAAGTATAGGGATTTCCCAGGTAGTGCTCTATATGGGGAGGCAGCTGGGAAAGAGCTGAGTGTGCACCATTAGGATAAAAGGAGAGAATTAGTAGAGTCTCAACTGGGAATGTCACGCATCTTGCAGCTGAGTAGCAGCATAAAAATTGAAGAGAAGGACTACTGTAGCTCAGCTGTGATCCAGCTGGGCTGGAAGCATACCAGTGCAGCTGGATCACAGCTGAGCTACAGCAGTTCTTCTCTTCAATTTTCATGCTGCTACTCAGCAGGCGGATGGTCGACACTCCCTAATATCGTCTCACTAAAGACATGTACATCCCCTGACCATTCCAGAAGCGCCCAGTCTCAGAAGATCGTTGCCGCCAACAATTGCAGTTGGGAAGAACGCATTCATCCCAACGTTCATAACGAACAGGGCCAAAGGCTTACCCTTTGGTCTTGATCAAGTCGAAGGATACTGGTGATGAATGAGACAGCGTCGGATTACTCAGGATTCAGGTTTGGAACATCTTCTATACCCTCCCTTTCCTCCTTCCAGCAGCGGTCGACCTTGGCTCTCACCCTTTCCATGCAAATACCCATCTCCCCTACTTCTGGTTTCCTTTCCCCATTCCCCCTGGCACTGTTTAGGAGTCCGTTGGCGAAGGATTTCCTTCCCTTTCATCTCTCACCGACTCTTCAAAGCGCGCTATGCCCATTTCCATTCCACAACAGTGTATTTTTCCATGAAATGATTCACAATTCGCTCCTGGTATGGAAAGACTTCTACATGTTCCCCATGGAACAGGGGTAAGCCAGATCGGACATGGAAAAATAAATGGATCTCAGCAATATCCCGAATGAACTCTGCATGGCCCCGTTCATCATATCCAATTCATTTTTCCTTCCTTGTTTAAGATTTGCGTCTTCTTCCTATCGTCCTGATCATATCATTTATCTCACCTATGCTGCATTTAAATAATCCTCAGTGGAAAGGACAGTACCATTTCTAAGTTCCTTTTGAAATTAACGCTGATAGAATGATGTTGAATGACGGATTTCAACCTTTCTGATATGGTCTGAGGAAACCTTTTGTGTATAATTTAGGATGACCTGGGAACCCCGTGGCACAATGGTAGTGCGTCTGACTCCAGATCAGAAGGTTGCGTGCTCGAGTCACGTCGACACATGCACCATTATCATTTTCTTGTTTTCAGTTCCATTAAAAAAGCTTCTTTGATACTCGCCCTGGGGAACTCTCAAGGTTGGAGGTTCCCATCGTGATGTGAGGAGACATTTCTGCCCATTAGTACATCTCGCGTGTAAGTCCAGCATTCCATTATCACCTATATCCACTTGAATAGGGTGGAAAGCTACACTGTGATGTCTGCGCAAAATTCATGAAAAATTTTTCTCGGAATTCCCCAGGAAAAAGATCTCCGAATAATATATCTGCTGCTGATGAATATGCGGAGAAGTTGTGGCACGACACGACTGCGACGAGCAACCTCCCTTACAAACAATGGACCCAAGTCAGACCCTTTCTTTCTCCTTCATCGCATGGCATTCATTTACATCGGCGAACAGTCGGGGTCGGCTCATCATTCTGGTCGCCAGTCTTGAAAGTGTTGTAGCATGGGAACTGTGGAAACGAAGGGGTGGTGTGCCGATCGCTTTCGTCGTCCTCATTAATATTATTATTATTATTATTATTATTATTATATATAAATATTAATATAAGTATTAATATTTCCATATGTCTACCTTGAAAAAAAAGAAATGACTGTTTTTTCATGCTTCTGCGAGACGTATGAGGACTGTGCGTCATGCTGGAGAATTTGATGTCTCTCTCCACCGCAGAACGACCGTGCGAGGGTTTCCAGGAACAACTTCCACGACGACAAATCACAAGACAGATGATGGATTCCTGGACCGAGACGCGAGATGTACTATTGGGCAGAAAAGTCTCCTCACATCCCTATCTGAACCTCCAACCTTGAGAGTTCCCTCAGGGCGAGTATCAAACAAGTTTCTCTAATAGATCTGATTGATCGATTCAGGCATCCACGTCGTCACATCGAGTCGTAAGAAACAATGGGGAGGGCTCCGTGGCGCAACGGTAGCGCGTCTGACTCCAGATCAGAAGGTTGCGTGTTCGAATCACGGCGGGGTCATGTCCTTATTCTATCACCTCTTCTATCTCTCTTCTTTATTTTTTCTTAATGGTATCTGTTTCTTCGATGCTCGGGGCTGAGAGACAGCTGTCGCGTTGCTGATTTCTTCGATCTACAACGTGTAACTCTCGTCTCTTCAACCCCCGGGAATACAGCGGCAGATGGATTGAATGTCGTACCTCGTGTAATTATTTATTTTCAGTTGTTTGAATTCTGACAAACGCAAACTTGCAACAATCTAACAACTCATTCCTCGTGTGGACGTTAGAGATGCGCCGCTCCGAGACGTTCAGGCCCAAGGTCAGCAAAGAATCGGCAAAGTCCTGTGTCAAACATTTGGTTTTGTGAAGTGCACGACTGCATATTGCATCGGTGCGGTGTTGGGAGGATCTCACCGTGGTGTGGCGGGGGCTATGTGACGGTCCACCACATGGCAGCGGGGCCCACCATACCTTTAGCTCCTATTTTCATTTTAAAATATTCATTATAATAATGATGCTTCAGTCTGCATACCTCCCCCCGGGTCCAGTGAGGTCCCAATGATCAACACAGACCAAGTCCTTGAGGATGGCTGAATCAGGACCCCAAGTCCCCACGATCCGGACCAGGAAACGAGAGGCATGGAGAGAGAGGGAGAGAGAACGAAAACGTTCCTTACCGGCCAGATTTGCAGAACCTGATGAAACTTCAAACAGACGAGTGGAAAGATTCGTCGCATCGTTCGGATGACGTAACTAAAGAAAATGAGGAGTTTGATGTCGTGTGGAAATGTGGGTCCATTCTGATTCGACACGGGACGCTAACCGTCCGTTTCGATCTCCCAGACGTGAAGCCGTTCACGAATCGGAAGCATCAGAATCGGGTTCCCTCAAAATTGGACCGTTATTGACAAAAAGTTCCTATAGTGGGGATCGAGAGAAACGAAGAGGCACATGGCGAGAGCCCCACGCGTTGCCACCGGCTGCACTGAATCCCACGGTGCCGCGTCGCTCGCGGACGCGGGAGGCTCGTCCGCGCGCCGCGCTCTGATTACCTCATTGGAGGACTATCGGTGTCTTTCGAAGGAAAATCGGGGGGAATCAGAAGCTCAGTCACGGATGGGACAAGTGCGCAAAATAAAAAGGTGCTCACGAGAAGGAACACCTGTCGCAGTAGTATTTCCTGTTTCAACCTGACTCGAAAAGCACAGAATCCAGACAT